TGTCGAAAATTTACGAATAAAGTTTGTTACCGTTTCCCGAAGAATTTCTCCACCAAAGAATGAGCATCATTCCCCACCAAAGAAAAATGGCAAATGTCAGTGGCTATAGTTTCATAGAAGGCTTAGGATGATCACGCTACTTTACGTGCGAACAAGCTGGGGAACAGCACAGGAAAATTTATTTTGTAGCAGAAACAGCAAGGTGTACCTGGAAGCAAGAATTCACGAACGAGAAGAACAGTTATCCACCGGAAAGCGAAATGTGTGGGCTCTAGATGTAGATATGATAGATGGTGAGCCAGTTTCGGATCGAACTCGGCCAACAGAGAGAACATTTGTTCCATTTTACTGCCTGGAATGGAAAGAATAGGGAAATGACGAAACCGCAACATGCTTAACACGAAGTAGGGCACGAAAATCGTGTTTGCGGAGCTGTGACTGGAGCTGTGTGTAGGTGAACTATTAAACCCAATGGAGTTTCACCAGAAAGTAGTCAAAATAAGTGTGGATGCGGAAACAACAAAGCGTACTTCAACTTGCGATCGTCTGTCTTGCATGATGGTGAGCATCACTATTCGAGGAAAGGATGGTAAGCCTCACAACAATTAGATTATACCCTGAGATCCTTGCCCACACGCATGCCCGTTGTGTCGACGGGAATGATGGATTAAGAGGACGGGATACCTGGCATAAGCCCCTATCTAAGACTGCTACTGACTGAGCTTCAACAGCATTCTGACGTTAGACACACACCGGCCACTCTCACCTGATTTCGTGTACCATCAAGGATTGCGTACGGCTTGCTGATGACGGCTGCTAAGTCAGAAATGGCCATTCTAGTCACCCATTTTTTTGTCGGTAATGAATATTAGCATAGACAGAGTAACCTGCTTGATTATCTGTTTTGGTACGGCGATTTTAATAGACCTGAAACACAAAAGTGCAACAAAGCTGGCCCGACAAGATAGACTGAGGTGGTTAAATCCGACTGGGAGAAAAGGCCATTCAGTGATGGGGAAAAGTTCGATTATTTTCTCATGATCAACCAGAACTGTTAAAAGGGCATGTTAATAGGAACTTGAAGCAGCAATAGTTGGGGACGTGAAGTAGGACATATATCTTATTTAGCAATGGCAGAAAGATGATCAAGAATCAGCCGGTATGAACACAGGAAAGCGAATGAAATGAGCGCGATTAGGTTAGCCAAAACAGACACCAGAAAATGGAATATTGTTCTTGTTTAGGTTAAGTTAAAGCTGCTGGAAAAAAAATATTAATTAGCGTTTGGATGGTGTACCGTTTCAGTTGATTTGTTTTGGACCCTCCTAGAAAATTGCGGAAATGGGAAAATGGGTGTTCAGTTCCTAAATTCATCTCCAAGTACTTTGCAAGCGTAAGAGTTTTCCGAAAAGCGGCCTTCAAGGGACAGGAATGGCAATAAAAAGTAAGGTTTCGGTTAAGGTTTCCTAACCTACTTATTTACATTAGGGAGGTATATGGCTTTACAGATAGCAATGCCATGACCGCCTGTAATGAACGAAGGCGAGATATTCGGCCTATATTTTACTATAGCATTGCCAGAAAATTTGATAATCCCTTACCAATTTTTCCCCAGGTGGAAAGACGACAGGGAATAATAAAGTAAGGATGACATATATGACCGCCTCAACAGGACACGTGAACAGGAACCGCCTGCAATACAGGAGTTCTTGCGCCAAATTCCAGGGTAAATAGGGTAAGGTTTATGGTTAGGGTTAGCTTCAAGATACATTGAGTTTAGGGATGAGGTTAAGGTTATTTTTAACCATAGGGCAAGGATTAAGAGTACAGTTACGCTTGAGTTTAATGGTATGCGCAGGGCCACCTTTATTACTTGGGGAGGGGAGGGCGTTACTATTCACGTGTCAGTTTTAGGGGGCCATATACGTAAGCTTTACAATAATAAAATGAACACACTTGACCTAAACGGACGCCTGAAGACAGAAACTCCCTAGGTTATGACGATGAAAATGTTATAAGTAGAGATTGAAAAGAAACAGAAAACTTACCAATGCCCATATCCTGGTCGAAAGTTCGGATAAAATTGCTTTGAATTTCAGCCATGAGATTGTTAAAGCAATAAAACGCGTCCGCCTCGGCGTACACTGGAGAAAAAAACAGTCAATTCCCAGATAAATTAAGAGTTGTGAAGAGAGTTTCTGAAAAATTATCATCGAGCACTGTAGATTACCGGGAGATGGCCTGCGTTTGACACTGAGTAATGAGAACACAAGCATGCGGTCCCTCGGGGACGCGCTAGAAAGTTCGCAGCTACGCAAACAGGCGAAACTTGTCCGCAAAGGCTTGAAGGCCCACTTCTTATCCGCAGCGAAAATATCTTATATAAGAAGTCTTTATATCGCCAAATTACGAAAAAACAACACAGCCGACGTTCTGAACACAAAAGCCAAAGATGCTCACTGGTCCAAATCAAACAAGATGGAAACAAACGTTTATAAAATAAGGCTGCCGTCAGCAAGACAGGTGAAAGAATTTTCGGATATACTGAGCAACGCTGCTTAGCCAAGATTTCAAAATGCCGATCCCATCATAAAAGTCCGGTATCTGATAGCAAGGTGGACTAAGGAAGACAATAATAAATATTGCGTTGAAATTGACACTTTATTAGAACAGCCTTCATACACCAAAGACAGGCAAAAATGCTGCCAACTTGCAATTCAAGTTTATGGTATGTCCCTTGCGCTGGCTGACTTTGTTTGCAGTGAAAACAGCGACTTCAAAATTGACGCGCCGGTCAGATTCGACAGATGATAAGCGCACCCTGAGTGCAACCATTGAGTTAATTTACTAGGCTGATCCATCACATTTCCGCAATTGCTTTTATATTCGACTATCTAGCTCTGAAGCGCCAATTATTAACGGAATAAAGCCCTACTCTCGAGAATTCCTTCGTTCCATATTTTCCTCTTCAATCTCATGCACTTCCCTTCGCTCGCGTGTTCATGGTCAACTGGTTACGGCACTATGGAACTTCGATAAATAGTCACTACCTCTACGTACAGAAGCGGAGTCCTGTGCTTTCCAACGCAAGTAACTTCGTGGTCTTTTCGTGTGATATTGGCTGAACGCAGGGAGTTGTGAGGATGGAATGGCATCCCTGGTGTTCTTAATTTTGGTTTCGACACCGGCGTTTTGGATTAGTGGAGTGGTTTACGAAGCATGGAAAGACGAGACCGTTCCTAGCGACTAGGATAGCGGTATCAGGATGGGAGCCAAGAAACAAATATATGGGAGCAAAGGTCTCATCGACATTAATGCAAATGCCTTCTGTATTATTTCCGGTTAACTGACCTCAAATAGGCTGAGTTAATCATATTACCAAAGGAAATTGATGGCTTGCAGATTCTGGTCTCTTAATGTTAGGCTCAAGTGAGCTCAAGCCGTATTTCTAAGCAAAGGAAAGTATTTATCGTGATTAACGAGTATGAATTTGAAAACATAGAACCAAGTTGTCAAACGGACAGAATAAGGACGACAATATCACCCAATCAGGTGTTGTTAAGAGCGTTTTTGCAGTCCTTCCAACGTGTCTATGCACCCACTGCAAATCTCGGTAACAGCAAACATTCGATTCTGCCTGGCACAGGTTAAAGTCCGTCGTTTGTAGATATTACTTATGAACAGCGTGTAAAAGATGAGCAAGCGCGATAACCACTGAATGGCAACGATCTTTAGAGTGAAATACAGTGAATGTCTACAATGGGAGAGTCTGTACTAATTGCGCCATCTTAGGCTAGTTAATCAACATTAGCAAAACGCTTGTAGAACTTTAGCTGTCACCTGCCTCAGAGAACACAGTGCAGCTATTTAAGATCACACGATACTGCCTAACTGGGGGCAGCGTAGAGGCCAGCTTAGAACTTGACTCGATAGTTCAAGACCTAGATGTAATTCTTGAATCCCTAGCTGTTTTCCTTCGTTGATCAAACATGGGGTAGGGCAGATGCTACTGACGACAATGAGGCAGCCAAGACTGGGCACGATTATAGCCATATTATGCAAAAATATGGTGGGATCGATGATGAACGCAAACGTACTAAAGGCACAGAATTGCAACAGAACTTGAAAGAGGAAGCATTGTACAGAAAAGTTTTTTCAACCAAGTACTCACTTTGCCATTCGGGGTCTGGATCATTCGCGAAAAGGTAATAAATAGGTCCAAGGACTTCATTCATCCCTTGAACATAGGAGGACCGTTGATTGACTTTGCAATAGATGAAGATGATTCTTTGCGCAACTTCCCAATGTGCTTCTTGACTGTGACATTCGGAATCCGATTCTTCATAACTGGAGCAAAGGGGATGCTTTTTGTTTTCACAAAGGAGCTTTTTGGCACCTGTTATATCAGTGGCCATAGTACGTGACTACAAGGAAGTTGAAGTTGGAAGATAAACATATTAGCACCGACATTCAGCCTGACAAGCAAAAAATATGTGAGCTCATCGAACTTGAGACTTTTCCTAAGCCGTATGCAATCCATTTTGAGGTAACGAGTGTTCACCTTTACTTTAAGGTCATAAGCCTTTAGCGACAAACATTTTATGATAAAATATTTGACTTAATGATACGCAGGGAAATGTTTGAATTCCAAACACAGTCGGATAATCTCTTTAAGTAAATTCAGACATGAAGGGTGACACGTATAAAAACCCGGCTGTAGTGCCTATTTACTAAAGTATACAGTCCTGGTAACTAGTAAGTTATTATCGCACAATAATAGGCATATAGTCAGTATGGCGAAGACTCGAAGGTTTTTCGACTGGGAAGACAGTCAACGAAATCAATCTAAGTAGGGGATAAATTATATTTAGCGTCTGACGTCGGACTGCATTGTAATTTTGTAGCAAGGGAGATGACAATAGGGATGGTTACCATTTAAATCTCTAGAGGACTTCAGCGGGGGTAATTATTAACTGTATCTATCTGGGAGTGTAGTAAGCTGCACCAGGACATTATTAGATGGTTAGACGTAGCATAGGAACCCAAGAGATAATTCGCCTTTTGAAATGCGAGTCAAGTCAAGTCAAGTCAAATTTATTAAAGGAAATATAGGCAAACGCCT